ATAGCAGTAATTAAGAGGTGGTTCCACGCTCCTCAAATTATCCAATCTCCTTGAGGCCTTGATGCCGGAGTTTATCGTCATGCAGAGGACTGAGAATATTAATCTGGAATACTTGTGGAATTATACCGTAAATTGAGGCGTACGATTCGACCTTTTTAGCCCAATATTCTGAGTTAGGCTTTTACCTACTGTATAGGTCGACCCCGAACATACGCTAGGCTACTAGTGGCCCCAAACTGAATATGAAAATTAGTATTTAAATTATTTTGGATTCGGATTTATTTATGTGTCTTATGTTTTCAATAACATGAGGTTATGGGTTTAACCATTTACTTTACATTTTTTAGGGGGGGGTCCTTTTGTATTTAAAAGAAACATCTCCTACGCTCTTTTGTTTATTAGGCATTGAACAGTATCACCTGACCTCCATGAACTTAACTGACTTTTCCGCTAAACTGATGAATATTCATGAGCACTTTTATATCAAACATTTTCCAAAAATAATAACATTTTTGCTCTTGTATATAAATACTTGACACAAAATAAAAACCTCACATGTTCCTTGATAAAGCCCCTCAGAGGACGAAACGCGACGGCTAAGATAAGGATCTCATTTTGATCGTATTCATATTGTCCTTTTACAGATATACTCTATCTGAACTTTCACACACACACACACACACACACACACACAATCCAGAGACGGATATGCAATGCGATAAGTCCTGATCTAGCATCTCGTCTACAGTGACTTTCTCACAGACGTGCTGTGGTTTTCCTCTGTTTTTTCTACAGATATTTTCATGGCAACTGCTCTGACGAGTTACTTTCGCTGGTACCCCAACTGCATGAATTTAAGCGTGCTACTAGGTTGGCATCTCAGTCCCATGCTTTCACTTACAGTTAAATGTAACCACTCCTTCTACTCCAACAGCTTCTTCTCTCGCACTTCTCGACAGTGGAACTACCTTCCTTCTACTTGTTTCCATGATAGCTATAATCTTCAACTATTCAAATGTAATGTCAATCGACATCTTCTGATGTCTTGATGCTGATCCCCGCCCTTCTCTATATCCTTTCTTCAAACACCCCCTCTTTACTCTTGCTCTCAATCTCTGTAACCCCCCTTGCGTGCTAGTAGCACTCTCGCCTTGCTTAGGGGGACATGCTTAATACACACACACACACACACACACACACACACACACACACACACACACACACATATATATATATATATATATATATATATATATGACAAAATACAATGGTAACTGGTAAGATCCAACCATAGTCAAGCTAGTAATAAAAAAAGCTCAATACTAAGTAGAGCCTATGATATAAAAAGAATAAAGAATAACATAAAAGCTACTTGAGTTTCACCCTCAAATTGAAGGATCGTCAGGCCAGGTTCAATGTTGAACCCGGATGACATTTACATCCGAGTAAAAAAAAAAAACAAAAAAAAACGCTTTCTTCATATTTAAGACCAGTACCATGAGATATGTAAGACAAATTTCGAACTTGGCCTGGCGATCCTTCAATTCGAGGAATGAAACTCTAGTAGCATTGGTTTTATTTCTTGTACCTTATTCTTCTTACATTATATACGTAGAGAAAAAGAAAAAAAAGCTAAAGTGTAAAGTGAAAAAGAAAACAAAGAAAAGGAAAATAACCAAGACATTCTACAGATACGCGTAGATGGGTGCATGGGCGCGAACGGTCACACACACGTTCGCACGCACACATACACTATGAAAAGTGCATATCAATATCAGCGTGTAAAAGTGGGCATTGAATTCAACACTCAGAGTACGATCGGAAAATTGTTGCCATTTTATATTTTTACTTTGGCACATGCGCGTTGAGTGTTTTGATTGTGTCGATTGCACAGTATAGCATGGTCAGTTAGGCACCGTCTGAAAAAGAGCCCCCCTCCCCATGACGCAATTCACTCCGCCAGAAATTTGGAAATTGCTTGGAATTCTCGCCAGAAGCTGCAGTACAATCATTTCAGAATGTTTAGGTGGCAATCTGAGAACAGTGCAGAGGATTTGGAAAGATTTCAATGAGTCTAATGGTGATTACGAAGATGTTTAGCGTGATCACTAGTGATACGACGTATGCCTACATTCATATTCCCACAGGAGGTCTATATCAAGTGCCTTGAGGAGGTAGTGCTGCCCTGGGTCAAGAGGCTGGCTGTTGAAAGACCATATGTCTAGAAACAGGACTCTGCACCATGTCACACAAGCAGGAGAATCCAGTTATGGCTGTAAGTCAATTTCTGTGACATCAACCCTTACATATGGCCACCTAACTTCCCAGACAGCAACTCCCTTAATTATTATGTGTGGGGCGCAGTCCCAACAAAACTCTTTGTAACACCAAAGTTAAACTGAAGGCAAAGATTATGGCAGCATTCACCAACTGAAATAAGGTTACCGTCCAGAAGAATTGCAGGAGATTGTAAAATCGTCTGAAGGCCGTGGTTGAAGGTAATGGCGATTTTATTGAATAACGTTACTCCTTAGTACTTCAAAGTATTTTTGATGCAATTTTGGTAAATATATCTGTTAAAATGAGATGTTAGTTTTATTTTTGAGTAATTTGAACCACAATTTACCCTGTGTTCGTGTATATATATATATATATATATGTATATATATATATTAAGACATTTTTATGTTTAACATTCTTTTTATAGATACAAATATTTAAGTAAATGCTCTGTTTATAATAAACAGTATTAAACAACATTTACCGGTCCGAATGTCCGAGAAATTTTCACAGAAAATATTCGTCCTCTGACAGGATTCGAACTTGTATCCTATACGGAACCATCATTTAGATTGACGTGCCTTTACCGATTTGGCCACGAAGGAGCGTTCGGTTAGCAAGGTCGTTGTTAATATTTCATTCTTTCGCGTGGTATTCATCTTTTTAAAATATACACTTTTCTCTCGGCGGAACAACTATAAACTCTTCCCTATATATATATATATATATATATATATATATATATATATATATGTATGTGTGTGTGTGTGTGTGTGTGTGTGTGTGTGTGTGTGTGTGTGTGTGTGTGTGTGTGTGTATATATATATATAATTTATGTGTACACCTGGGTATGTTCACAAAGTTTGCCAAATTTAAACAATACTTAGACGCGCGTGCATTAGGTTTCTCTATATAAAGGAAAACTCATTTAATTTTTATATAGACCAAACCCCTTCATACTCATAGACATACACAATGACACAGATACAAGCTTACTAGCAAGGAGACTCAGTTAAGCCATATCGATGTAATAATCTGAAAAAAGTGGATCAATTTGCATAGTCGGTAATAATCGCTCCCTGATGCTAATAATTTGTTTATCAACTATTACAATATTGGGGTAAAGTTTTTAGTGACTTCTTGGTGGAAGAAACCAAAATCAAGTGCAAGGAAAGAAAGGAGAATATGGAGGAGGAGGAGGAAGTGATGGAGGAGGAGGAGGAAGTGATGGAGGAGGAGAAAGATCGTGATGGGAAAGAGAAAGGAAGGGAGAGAGAAGGACCAATAGTAGAACTGTTAGGAGCAGTAGAAATAAATGCAAAGAAAAGAGATGGGAAAGAAAGGTAGATAAGATGAAAGACAAAGGTAGAAAGGTAAAACCTGGAAAGAGAGAGAGAGAGAGAAAGAGAGGAAGAAAGAGATAGAGAGAGAAAGAGAGGAAGAAAGAGAGAGAGAGAGAGAGAGTGAAAAGAAGAATAAATGGGAAACAAATGCAAAGAAAAGAGATGGGAAAGAAAGGTAGATAAGATGAAAGATGAAAGGACAAAAAGGTAGAGAGAGAGAGAGAAAGAGAGAGAGAGAGAAAAGAAGTAAAACCTGCAAAGAAAAGAGATGGGAAAGAAAGGAGATAAGATGAAAGAAAGGTAGAAAGGTAAACCTGAAAAGAGAGAAAGAGAGAGAGAGAAAAGAGAGGAAGAAAAGAGAGAGAGAGAGAGATGAAAAGAAGAACAAATGGGGAAACAAATGCAAAAGAAAAGAGAAAAGAGATAAGATGAAAGACAAAAGAAAGGTGGAAAGAGAGAGAGAGAGAAAGAGGAAAGATAAGAGAGAAAGAGAGAGAGAGAGAGAGAGAGAAGTGAAAAGAAGAATAAATGGGAAACAATGCAAAGAAAAGAGATGGGAGAAAAGATAAGAGGAGAAAGGTAAAAGAAAGAGAGAGAGAGAGGGAAGAAAGAGAGAGAGAGAAAGAGAGGAAGAAAGAGAGAAGAGAAAAGAAGAAGAGAGAGAGGAAGAAAGGAAGAAAAGAGATAGAGAGAGAAAGAGGAGGGAAGGAGAGAGAGAGAGAGAAAGAGGAGGAAAGAGAGAGAGAGAAAGAGAGAGGAAGAGAGAGAGAGAGGAAGAAAGAGAGAGAGAGAAGAGAGGAAGAGAGGAGAGAAAGAGAGGAAGAAAGAGATAGAGAGAGAAAGAGAGGAAGAAGAGAGAGAGAGAGAGAGAAGAAGAATAAATGGGAAACAAATGCAAGGAAAAGAGACGGGAGAGAAGAATGAAAAAGGTAAATAGTAAAGAGAGAAAGAGAAGAGGAATGGGGGAGGATAAGACAGACAAATGCAAGAAGAGATGAGAGGGGGTGAGAAGATGAAAGGCAAAGTTAGATCGTGAAAAGAGAGAGGGGAAGGAGAGAGATAAGGAAAGAGAGAAAGAAACAGAAAATAAAGGCAATAAAAGATAAATGAAAGGTTTTTTGATTGATTTGTTTTTTATGCCTTATCAACCTTTTGCAGGTTATTTAAAGCCATAAAATATTTTCTTTTGTGTGTAATAATTTTCTAGAGATAATAATGAATTACTGATACAAGCTCAACTAATTAACCCCTAGCTGGGAGAGAGAAGAGATGGATTCATACCTTTTCCCAAGTGGATTTGAGCGTAACTCAATATAACGAACCGTCAAATTTGAAAACAGAGTGTAGAAAAGAAGGTTAAAAGACAAAAAGCAAAGATTAAAAAATAGAAAAAAAGGTGAAGAAAAAAAGAAGAAGGTGGAGAAAAATGCGAACAGGGTGAGAGACAAAATTAGAGTGAGGCGACAAGACAAAGATGGAGAAAAAAAAAGAAAAAATAGAAAAGGAGTTAGTGAAAGAAGACGAGAAGTAAAACGTATAAAGAAATGGAGATAGATTGAGAGAAAGTGTGCGAGGAAGAAAGAAAACGAAGAGGAGAGAGAGATAGAAAGAGAGAATGAGAGAGTGGGCCGCAAAAGGAAAAGGAGAAAAGAGAGAAAACAGACCAAGCTTGAGTATAAAACGAAGGCGAGTAAAAATGAAAGGCTGTTGGTTGACGTGTTTTCGCGTTTGGTTGGAAAGGGTGATCGGACATTTGCAGTTGTGAAACCGGCGCCATCACGTCTGCTTTCCGAAGTTGATAGTTGTTTGCGAACACATTAGGCCATTCAGAGAGAATAAATAGTGTTTTGTTTGCACAGGTTAACGTTCTACGCTGGGATCAACTGATTAAGTCCATGTGTGCAAATGAATGTCTGGAAATTGTTGCCTGTGTTTGTGCATGCGTGTGTGGGCTTCCTCCTTTTATTTGTCCATGTAATTAAACACACGCTTTTGTGAGCGCTTGTATACACACTTGGAGTTATTGCGTGTGTCAGTTTTTAAATGTGTCGATTGGTCTCGGCACATCGACACATACATAGTCCAACGTAATCTATCTAATATTTTCAAACTATATTTAGGGTTTGATTATATAAAAACGTTTCGTCTGAAATTCTTTTCGAAGCCGAAAAGCTAAAATTCTAGAAACAATTTTACGAAAGAAAATTAAGTATTAAAATAAATGTACCTAGTATTTCTTTATCGTATATCACTTTTTTTTTCTTCATTTGTTAAATTGCATTCGTTAATTAATGTATATTTGACATGGTTAACATTCACAGAAGGCAATAGATGCTGGGAAACAACAGCCTGTCACCTCCATAACGAGTTTGTGTGAATGGATGATAGAACAAGGAGAACGGAAGATTGTAACGATTTAAAATCTATTTATTCACGCCCTGAAGAGACTCTTTTTATCGATCATATCCCTTTAAAACGTAAGCGATCACGGTACCTCACAACTTCCTCTCCATTGTTACTCAAAACAATAGTTGACCCTTTATCATCTCTCGTTAAGCCCGGACAGACATCTATTCATCTAGTAGCCTACTCGCTGTTTTTGTTTTTCCCTATTTCCTTCATTATGTTGTTTGCATGTTAAAATTTCGAAGCCCTCTTTCCTCATAATGTGCCCTGGACATTTCAACCAACACTTTCTGATTTTAAGTATAAGTGTTTAAGTATAAGTGTCTCTGACTCTGCACAGTCGCTTTCTCACAGACGTGTCGTGTCTTCCTTCTGTCTCTTCTACAAGTACTTTTACGGCAACGGCAACGGTTCCGACGAGCTACTTTCGCTGGTTCACAGGCTGCATGAATTTAAGCGAGCTACCAGGCTGGCATCTTGGTTCCACACTTTCACTGTCAAAACGGTTAAATGTAACCGTCTCTTCTACTCAAACTCGCGCACTTCCCGTCTGTTCAACTCCCTTCCGCTTACTTGCTTCCCCGATGACTATAATCTTCAAATATTCAAGTGTAATGTCAATCGAATCTGATACCTTGAACTTTTTCCCCGTCCTTCTTTGTATACTTTCCTCAAAGACGCCTCTTTACTCTTGTTCTCAATCCTCTGTAACCCCTTGCATGCTAGTGACACTCCGGCCTTGCTTAGGGTGAATTGCTAAAAAAATAAATAAATAAAAGTATAATAATAAAAGACTCTTTAAAGCAGTCGTCAGCGAGTTCGTCTCGCGTATTATTTTTTCATCCAATACAAGACCTAAGAGCCACTCAAGGTAGATGGTTTCTATACGAGTGTAAAGAGCAAAAGTAAGTAGTGCGTATTATGAGATTACGTAGGAGAGATAACGGTTATAACTTGAAGAAGTTAAGATATTCGTGATCGGGGAAGAATACCCACAGGAGTTTTTTTTCCCAAATTTTTCCACAATTTAACAGTTCTGGGAAAAAGCTGTTTGAGTGGAATGGAGATGAGACGATGTTGTATACGTGGCATAGCAAATCTCAACTGTAGTTGTCTTAACTGTTAAAACTAATGAATGCAGCTCATCTGAATATTTTCTATGAAAATAGTAATAAAGTAGCAAGAGGTTAGCAAAGTTTTGCTTTTTTAACATCATTTCACCCCAAGAAAGGCAATAAAGTCACTAGGACGGGGTTACTGAGCGTTAGAGAATATGAAAAAAAGCTATTAAGGAGAGAGTAAAAGAACAAGACAGAAGATAACGATTGGCTTTGAAATTAAATTTTTGAATATGAAAGTTGATTGGTAAAGAAGAAGGCAGATGGGATTCCCACAATTTACGCTTAAATCTAGCAATTTCATCTGTAAAATGATTTGACCTTGTCGTCAATCATAGAGATCAGGTACAATAGCGGCAAGTTCATCAGAACAATTAGCACGAAAATAGAAGAATGCACAGCGAAGTTATAGAGAGGTCTGAAAGGGACTGAATCCGAGATGCCAAGACAGGACCAATAACATAGCAGATTCTTCTTAGGATTTTACTAAGAATCGCTAAATATATAGCAGGGGCACAATATGGCAGCAATATTCAAAACAAGGACGAATAAAATAGATTCTGGCGAGAAAGATTGTCTAGCACAACATAGGAAATCAAATTTCTTAGCTGTTTTTGGAAAAGAGTTGTAGGGTGCAAAATAATTCATCGCTTACAAGGCCGTGTAAACGCTTTTGAACTCTGTCAGGGTTGGAAAGTAAAGATTGGACAGATCCAGTCCAAATATGTCAGTAATACTCCATTTCTAGTTTAATCTGACTCTTGAAATGATAGGAAGGGTTTAGGTACTTTATGGAACACTACAATGAATAGACCCGTTTCCCATCATCTTTAGCGATAGCCCGCATATACGAATATCCAATAGCTTGAGTCCTAATAGTCGTTCAAAGTAAGAAGCCTCACTGAGAGTATTAGCGCTCATCAGGAGCAGAGGGCTTTAGGGCCTGGCTCGATGGTGATGATACATGAACTAATATATTCTTCACTCAAAACTTTGTACCATACTGACTTCAGCTTAGTAAATATCAGCATTCAGTATATCTCTTTACTTTAAATTTAGTCTGGCATAAGCACGTGGCACGCAATGAGGATATATCTAGATGAGTGAGGATGTGTATGTTGCACTTGCAGACCACAGTGAGTGTATATATTGAGAATGAAGGTAACTAAAAAAATGTTTGTAGGTAACAATATTATTTTTAGATGAAGCATTGTTCCCTTTTAATTATAAAGGTTATTTCAACATTTTTTTAATATCCTTTGAGATGTAAATATCTAAGTATCATAGTCTAGAAAAACGAAATTAAACAGGCTTATTATTGAGCAAAATAAGATTTGTTCATCAAAATTTGAATGCGGAATTCAAAGGTATCTCAATTTCATGAAAGATTTCACACATTTTCAATATGCGCACATTCACTTTTGGTGAGTCCCTCATATGTTCAACTATGACATGTTGGGGTACTTTTCGTACCAAATGCGAACATTATTTCTTGTAGCGTTTGCCCTTCGAACGAAATGTGTCCTCGTCACTGAAAACAAGACGTTCTTCAAGTTTCTCTTGCATCTGGACACAATCTCACTGGTTCCCCATACATTCAGTCTTGTGCCACGTCTAAGCTATACTTAGAAAATCACCATAAACATACGTGGGGCACTTCGGCGTGATATAATGGTTAGCAAGCCTGTCTCGCTTGATCACTTACGACTGAATAGTGTGTTCGATCCTCACTGGGTGTGCCATAATTTCGGCCTTGTGCTACATCTAAACTACACTTAGAAATTCCCGTTGCCTTACTGCGGCTAGAAATCAGAGCTTTCTTTCACCTAGACGGCTTGCCAACGGAGCTCAAGGAGATAATTTTTTCTGCTATTTACTCCATAGCTGGGGGGTGAGAACAGTTAGATTCGTACCATTTCCAGTAATATTCCTACTTAAATGAACACAACAGATTAAGCCAGAATTTAAACTCTGTACTCTGATTCTATTTTTCACACCGGTATCCGTTACACCACCAATTCACCCTCCTATAAATTCAACTTGTAAAATAGTAAGACATTAGGCCCTCAGATCGAGAAAGAGAGAAGTCTAGATTTATTGGGTTGGTGCATAATTATCAGGCGTTTTTCAAACAAAATTTATTATGAATAAAGAAGCATAATAATTCAACGATAACATTTTTAAATGGTTATTCCGGAGTGTATGATTATCAACACGCATTTTTATCACCTGAAAATAAAATATTTTTATTAAGGAAAGTATGCAAAACAGCAATTTTTATTAACAAATAACTCGCCTACAAAAACGCCTGATAATTATGCACCAACCCAATATATTTGAATTTTCGTTTGTCGTTTCTCGTAAGAGGGTTCGGTTAACGAGGTGTCCTCGACGCAAAGCAGCCGGCAGTTCGAGTTTTGCCGGCAACTAATCTTTTATTGTCAATGTGTTCTGTCTTCTCACTGCATTAGATTGATGGCCCAAGTAGTGATTAAAAGCAAGTAACAATGATGAAAGCAAATTACTCAGCAGAAGTAATAATGTTTGAATGTAATCAATATTCAATTCCATCACAAGACAATCATCGACTTGTTTGCTAATCGAATAATTATTACCTAGAAACATTATAGGAATTCGTCCACAGATACATGTATTGGACACTTCGATGTGGTGTAATGGTTAGCACACTTGTCCCAATAGATCAATTAAGACTGAGTAGTCAGTTCGATCTTCCCTGTGTGCTCCATACTATCGGCCTTGTAACACATCTAAGTCACGCTTAGAAAACTATCATATGTATATATATATATATGTATCTGGGAAGCAATCCCTCTTTTATACAAGTTTAATTAAAAACAACTGACAAAAACTTAACTGCAGTTCCTTGTCAGCCGATTTTAATGCGACTTATATATGTGTCCATTTCATAATGTGTGACGTCATTTGTTTACATTTGATACGCCATGAGCAGTTATGAATGTACGTGAGAGATTCAGGGTAAATTTAAGTTTATAACCGAACGTAAATTCGACATTGCCAACCGATACAGGTTCCTTTGAAGGACGAATATTTTCTATGAGTGGTCAGGCACGTCACTGGTTATATAAACAGAGTTCCGTATCTAAAAAAAGAATACCTGCTCGGCCCGATACAGGTTCGAATCCTGTCGAAGGACGAATATTTTCTATGAAAATTTCTCGGATCTTCAGGCCGGTAAATGTTTTATTTAATACTGTTTATTATAAACAGAGCATTTGAATTTAAATACATAAATACCATCTATAAAAAGAATGTTAAACATAAAAAATGTCTTTATATATATATATATATATATATATATATATATATATATATATATATATATAAATTGCCCCATTTGTGTGTGTGTGCGTGTGTATATATAGTTCTCCATACTATCTGTGCCCCATCTAAAACCATCATATATATATATATATATATATATATATATATGCGTCCGTGTGTGTAGTTGTGCAGACTGTCAAATACTGTTAAATATATATATATATATATGTGTGTGTGTGTGTGTGTGTGTGTAAACATAGTATGACTACCTACACCCCCACTATCGTAGGTTGAGCACTTTGGAAGAATTCGTGGACTGCTGCTAATTAAGGCTAAAAGCTCTTTGTTATGAATTGAGCACTCTGGTAACCGGGAATGCTTATATCGCGTATATAATGCGTTAAAAATACCCTTCCTCTGCTACGTGCGCTGAGAGCCTGAGGCTGAGAGATTTTGACTGATGTCAAATGTGTGTGTGTGTGTGTGTGCGTTATGGAGTGCTGACAAATTCTTGTTTTCTTTCTAAAATTTGATCAAACATTTGGAAGAGTAACATTTTTCTTTGTTGAACTTTTAAGCGCCCCGCTCGCAGTCATAAGTACTTTGAATTCACAGTGACCTATTTTTATTATTAACTTTTAAAAACTAGATTTTTATCCCTTTTAATGTTGCTTTTTATTCTGATTCGACATTGATATATTCACCGACTTTTGCTGAGTCAGGTATTAACTTGAGTTAAGAGTGGCTTTCTTTGTACTATAACTGAAATACCTTTCTGCTTGAATAAAATTGCATCTAGGTTCAGGTGATCCCATTAGAAAACAACCTTAACTCTTAATACAAAAGTTAAAATGAAAAAAAAAGAAAAAAAAAACAGACTGCCCTTGTTAGTTCTGCAACATCAACTTGACATGTTTTTTTATGTGCGAATCAGTGAAATTTGTGGATCTCGTAACTTCTCGTTTATACCAATAAACAATGTGTCTGTTACAAGCATTGCTGATTTAAAAATTAAGATAAATCTGTTAATTTATTCTTGTTTTATGTGCCGTGTCCCTTTAGGACGTGGGTGATCATAGCTGTCCACAACATCCTATCGTTTGTAGCTCTTGGCATATTTGTATCTTTACTGTCCCTTCCAGTCGCTTTCCACTATCCATTTACATAAGCTTGTTAGGTGGGTGACCAAGGTTCTCCACAACTTCCTATCTTTTGTAGCTCTTACTATCCCTTTCAGTCCCTCCTAACCATTTACAATAACACGTTAGTTTGATCGTTGATTCCCTATCTGCACTTCTTGACTTCAGTATGTCCTGTGGGTGTCAAATTTTTCAAGCCCACTCCCAGAAATGTTAATTTTAACTTTTCTCATTCTAACTACAAATGACCTTTTTGCTCGCAATTTTCTTAAACCTTCCTCCTTGTGTACATCTTCCGTCTATGGCTTCTTCTGTATACTTATGTTGAACCAAACTGCCTCAAGTTTTCTTTTCATCTGTAATGAATCTTTCCAGCATTCATTGTCATATAGCAGGGATGGGCAAATCACCGCTCACGAGCCACATGTGGCTTTTTGACCTTTAATATGCGATTAGTGGTAATATATTGACTGGGCTCTTTTTTTCCAGTTACTATAAAAGGTAAATTCCTGTGGATCATTGCCGTATTAAATCTGCTCAATACAATTAAACAATCATCAGTCAAGATTTTGAAAACATTGTGTACTTTGTGATTACTGAAACCAATACAGGTGAACAGTTTGAAAAATGAAATACATGAATAAATATTATTGCATACATGCATTTTATAATAATTATATAAACATGTAGCAAAAACGAATCTGTAAATATTGTTCATGTCTTGCGATTCTCAAACATCTGAACTTTATCGCATGTGGCTTTTACATTAAGCAAGTTTGGCCACCCCTGGCACATAAGAGGATTGATAGTACATAGCAGTTCAGCAATGTTTTCTTTGTTTCAAAAAAAAAAAAAAAAAAACATTTTCCTGTTTCTAAATACTTTATTTAACTTTTGGAAGGCATCTTTTACTATTTCAACGTAGCATCGAATTTCTGTGTGACATTTTCTGTCGACTATTAAAAAAATTTCCAGATAATTTATATCTGAATTATCATTATCTACGCAGTATACATCTGGACTATTCTCTTCATCTTTACTGTTTTTATTCACAACGTTTAGAACATTGTTACCTCCTGCCTTCGATTCCGATAACCTACAAGGAATTCCGAACTGAACCGTTTATTTAATCTACGGAGTTAGACTCTTCTCGTTAAACTGCCCAAATCTCGGGATATCTCGTTTTTGCTTTTAAGGCTGCTCAGTTATTGCTCGTCCGTTTCGAGTTAGTCCAAGTACACGCTTTACATCCCAGGAATTGAATTTACATTTACTATGTCACCATATTAGTAACCCAATTAAAAATAGCCTAAAGCAATCAAACTTTGGTACGTAAATTTGGTGATATAGCAATTGTGGGTTCAATCCCTCAGTAGTTAAATATCGGTAACTGTTTGATTTTGGTATTGCCCATTCATAGTTCGCATCTCCGGCCATACGTTCTAGCTTATATTATTAATAGTCTCAAATTATTTGTTTATTAGATGTAGTATTTTCGTTATTTATTTTGATTAGGTTTTCTCCATCTCTTCCTCTATACCGTTTGATAAAACAAAGAAAAGAGAAAACTTCTAGCAATTGATAATTGATGGATAATGTATAGCACTTAAGGTTGATGCGCTATTCTTTGGTTTATAGCACATCGACTCTTCCATTATGGCCAGGTTGAGCGAAGACAGTGTTAATTATATTAACAACGCCTTTTACCTTTAAGACCATTAAAATTTGCTTAATATTTAGCACACATGTGTGAAAATGCCTTTGAACTTTGGAACCATTAAAATTTGTTTCATTTTTAGCTCGTGTGAAAAGGCCTTTGAAATATAAGACCATTAAAATTTGATTAATTCTTAACACACATGTGTGAAAATGCCTTTTCACTGTAAGATGATTAAATTTTGTTTCATTCTTGGCACAGATATATCAAAACACCGTTGAATTGTTATATCTGTCGTTCTGCGCATTCGCGAAATCTTAGTAAAGAAAAATGCGCTCCTCGGCCGTGTAGGAGAAACCACCGTTTGATCTTCTGTGCATTATCGCTCAGCCACTTGGAATGACGCAGCAGGCGAGGCTCTATTTTTCCTTTTTAAAGAAGCACATTCTCTTCACACAAATTATATTTGCTCAGTTTCGCAATCGATAGGTAAACAACCATTTTTCTTTAGGTTTCCCGAATATGCAAACTGATAGACGCAATACACGCCGTTTGAATAAATAAAAATGGGGCGTCTGTTTATAACACAAAGTATCCACTATAATAACGTTTGAAGTAATATGGGAGTCTACATGAATCTATAAGTCATGCAGTAATTACGTGAAATTTAATCCGAAAATTTGTCTAATTTTCGATTTATGTTTTTAGTTATTAGAGAAACTTTATATTAACGGCATTAAGGAAATATGTAGATGATGTTGAAAAATAAACATTTTTGTGTAAAACAAATGTTTTTTTCCTCATCAGGATGCAGATATATTTGAAGGAAAACAAAAAAAGAAAGAAACTAAATGAACAATGTGAAGTGAAAATAAATAAAGAAAACCTAAGCAAGAAAATAAAATTATGACTCCGTGAAAGTATGTGCGGAACAAAAAAGAATATGTGTTCGTGTGTGTGTGTATATACGCACGCGCGAGAGAGAGGTGGGGAGAGAGAGTGAGAGAGATAGAGAAAGAGAGAGAGAGTGCAAATGAGAGAGAGTGCAAATGAGAGAGAGTGCAAGTGAGAGAGAGTGCAAGAGAGAGAGTGCAAGTGAGAGAGAGAGTGCAAGTGAGAGCGCAAGTGAGAGAGAGAGTACAAGAGAGGGGTGGAGAGAGAGAGTGAGAGAGATAGAGCAAGAGAGAGAGAGTGCAAATGAGAGATAGTGCAAGTGAGAGAGAGAGTGCAAGTGAGAGAGAGAGAGAGAGAGTGCAAGTGAGAGAGAGAGAGAGAAGCCTCGGAACACATCGCAGAGATGCGCATAATTGGAACAGACTTTGGAAAAGAAAAGAAAAAAAGCAGTCGGAATGCTGTAATCTAGGGAACTGGCCACATGGCGAATTCAGATGTAATCGTTTCTTCATTACCATCAACTTGTACTTCATCTGCCGTACCATTTCCACAGACACACAATACTTTCAGAAATTAACTTCCATTCAGACTCGGAATCAATGCATCACGCAACGTGTAATGGCGAATGAGACATCAGCAAATCAATGGTCAGTTTCAATTGTTGACCAATGGTAGTCTGTACATCGAACATCCGTTTCTGTCTCATTGCTATTATCTGGCTTTGAACTGGCAATGATTGCATTTGCGAGAATCGCCCAAGGGTTAAGAATAAAATGAAATAAAACTTTATATTGTCTAAGGCTCACTTTTAAATGATATATTTGAAAGATTTAGATGAATATACGACAAGGGAGAAAAACACTTTCAAATTAGATAAAATCTTTTTCAACTCCTAAAACTTAAACATTATCTATCTATCTATCTATCTATCTATCTATCTATCTATCTATCTATCTATCTATCTATCTTATATATATATATATATATATATATATATATATATATATATATATATATATATATATATATATAATAATAATCGACTCTCCCGTCGCGTTCGACGTATGAGGGTCAGGCTGATAAGTCCACAGGAAACCGACATCCCGACACCGGCACATGAGATTTGTTTATAGTGGTGAAGGCCTTGTGCAGGACCAGCCACACTTTTTGGAGGGACGAATACAGAAACCTGGTGCACCGAATGCATGCCACAAGGTTCCCAAACGACCCTCCACAGGTTTTGAATTCAGAGTTGTCCTTCTCCTAGACCAGTTGCCATCCAAGGCTATAGAACCCAGTCTGTCCTGCTATTTTACCCATAGCTGGAGGGAGATGAAGAGGATATATATATATGCATGTTTCATTAAAAACGACAGACAGACACTACGGTTGAGCTTTTTATTTAATTTTCTTGTGTTCGACCAAGAGCTTTCTTTTCTGGACAAAGGGTGTGTAAGAACTGTCCAAATGTTTTATATTTCCGAGCGCTTTCGGCTATACCTTTAGCCATTATCCAGAATGATTCTATTTTTCAACTTAATTGAGTGTGTGCGTTATGTTAACAACACCACAGCTAAGTCAAAATTACAAAGAACGAACATTATCTATGAATTCAAATGACCCTTAGGGAACTGTGTTCCTGATCAAACCGGACTCATAAATAATTACATCGGTTACACAACTACATGCTTATCCTGACACCTTACATTACACCTATCTGATCACAGCTCCATTAGAACCCATTTAAACACACACACAAATCTATCAGATCCCATTAGAAACATACTAGTAGAAAACACAAATATATTAACTGCATCCACCTGCAAAAAAAAAAAAAAATACTAAAAATAATGGAAGCTTTAATAAAAAAGAAAAAGCCAACACTTAACAATATTAACTACGAACAAAGTCACAATGTGCTAACCGTATTCGGAAATTAAAAACATCCCTACCACACACTAAGACATACACATAACGCACACACTCAATTAAGCTGAAAAATCGAATCATCCTTGATAATGGCTAAAGGTATAGCCGAAAGCGCTCGGAAATATAAAACATTTGGACAGTTCTTACACACCCTTTGTTCGAACACAAGAAAAATTAAATACAAAGCTTAACCGTAGTACCTTGTCTGTCGTTTTTAATGAAACATGCATAAACGAAGGATTGGTGCATAAATATATATATATATATATATATATATATATATATATATATATATATATATATATATATATATATATATATATATAAAAAAGAGAGAAACCGCAAACGTCTTTGGTTGTAACGTGGATCTTTTAAAAATATATATTATGCTTTTACTTTTCCATAATTTTGCAACACGAGTTTCGGGTCTTGGGACCTTCTTCAGACAAAGAATAGATATTTCCACATATTATTAAAATGAATTAATTTTCCTTGTTTTTCGATGTTAAACATTCTCGATGTTAAACATTCTTGATGTTAAACACTCTCTTTTTTTTTTCTGTGGTATTAACACAAATGTCTTTCTTGAACTGGCACTGAGAAAGTTCTTCTGCTTGAAGCAGAAGAGCTTTCTCACTGCTAGTTCAAGAAAGAGTTTGTCCGACGACCGGATGGCGTGAAACCCAGAATCACAAATTCATATCAATATAACTAAGTATATATATATATATATATATATATATATATATATATATATATATATATATATATATATATGTGTGTGTGTGTGTGTGTGTGTATGTCTGTGTGTGTGTGTGTGTGTGTCTAGTAGTAGTAGGAAGATCGTAGTCTGAGATGTACCTATTAGCTGAATTTTGCTTTGTAATTTTCACTGTATAATGTTCGATATTTGGGATATCATGAAAAAGGTATGAGATTATGTTAAGCAATAAATACGCGTACAATACTTGTGTAAAATGGATGTTTATTTTTCATCATTAGGCTACAAACTTATTGATGCCCCTCGGTATAATATATCATTTTAGTTTTTCATACCGAGCTCCAAAACATGACCCCATTGTGGTAGGTCTCCACTTATACCTACGCCACATCACAACATTATCATTAATCTTTGTCTCCCGTCACCTCCCCGGGTCACTGTGAGGTGACTTAAAGAACGTTCGTATAAGAAGGGTCCCTTTACAAATTCTCAACCCCAGGGTGTCACTTGGTCTCCGACGGTCTTGACAACTCAAATGATTCCTGCTATGACGTCTCCTTCGCAAGTCTGGCAATTTAAAGAAATCTTTTAACCCGAGCCATCTTCATACTTATCTACACTTCTGGTGTCTCCTGGTGATCTAATCTAATCTAATCTAACACAACACACACACACACACACACACACACACACACACACACACACACACACACACACACATATATATATATATATATATATATAGTGTGTGTGTGTGTGTATACTGGGTGTAACAGTAATGTTGTCCAAATTGTGTAACAGCAAAATTGTCTATATGTTAAATTAAGCTCTGAACAGTTGTATCTTAGAAATGATTAAAGATATCTTACTGGAATACTCTGAGGATTTTATAACCCTACAGGACTCTACTTTGAGCAATAAGAATGTATAATTACTCTCGAAGCTTAACAAAAGAATCGTGATGAAATCCATCATAAACAAAAAATGATATGTTCATCACTAATTAATCATAGCTAAGGATGGGAATCTCATGAAGGATTGAAATAAAGTTTTATATATATATATATATATATATATATATATATATATATATATATATATATATAACCTCACCTTCTAACTTTCTGCCTGGGATTAACAAGTTGCCTCACACGTCATACGTTTCACTTACGATATCATTTTGAAGTCTTTGGACTATCATAGGGGAAACTCCTCTTTCACCTGCCAAACGTCTTATGGAGTGAGTTGGATCTTTTCTAATTGATCTCTTTAGCTCTAAGTTGAAATGATGTTCCCTCTTCCTGTTGTCAGCTACTGATCTAGTTTTTCTTCCTACTGTTCCCTGTTTTAAAACTTATTCACCGTTCTCTTCATGGTTTTTGAATGGACTTGGAAGATGGAATAAGTGTTGGTACCATTACTGAAGGCCTGGATGATCTTTTTCCTCTCATCATTGCTCATTTGAGAAGACAGTAGAGCTGACACAGAACGATTTTAACCTGTTCTCTTTCTAGCCGAATAATTCTAAGGGCTTTTCAGTGATTCTTACGACAAAATGCATCAAGAGGGCTAAAGGCCTCATATGAAAACTTGGAAAAAGAAACTCAATTAGTTTAGCGATTTTTAGATATTAAATTTTTGTAGGATAGACAATTATGCTGTTACACGATTTGGACAATTTCGCATATATATATATATATATATATATATATATATATATATATATATATATATATATATATAAAAAAAATATATATCTATTTTATAATCTATATATATTCTGTCTATAAATACTCTTCAATCCTTCCTCCTAAAATTCGACCAGCAACTCTTCCGAAGCTACTCCTCGTCTGTACTACGAAAGCTCCATTTTATGATCATAATGGCAACACCTACATCCAAAGTAATGGTGTCAGTATGGGAAACCCTTTAGATCCTGCTTTTCTAACTTTTGCATGTCTTAAATTGAAAACAAAGTATGTTGATGAAAGTTTTGTTTTCATAAAAACAAGGAGAAAATTATAAATTTAAAATCAACTTTTGAAAAAAGTCAACGCTAACATTTACATATGAACTCATGGTATATAACAAAATCCCATTCTTTGACGTCGATATAAAACTAAAATCCAAAGTATTTATCACTTACCCGTATAAAAAAAAACATACCAGTACGAGCTCTTATCTTCTAAACTATGATAGCCAATACTAGGAAAGATATAAAATAGCAGTGATAACAAACTTAATTAGTGCACACCAAAATTTCTCTTCCAAAATAATATTTCTGAACGAACTAAACCTCATAAAACATTAGTCAATAATTTTACCAGCTACATCATTGATAAAAAAATAACATTATTCTAACAAAAAAATACACCAGTCATAAAAATATCACACAAAAAACAACAGCAGATTTTACTGTAAGCAGATGCACGATAATTATAAACAGGAAGAATTCGCTATACAAAAAAATTATGAAACACCAGATTTCTGCCGAAGTTCTCGAAAAACGTAAAATTATAATACATTACAGGAAATGGAAGACCGCAAACCTTGTGGTCACAAATCAAAGTAACTTCATTAAATCTAAACTAATGATGACCAATATAATGTATCGATTCCAATGTCCAAATCTTGTCCCAAATCAAATACCTATATCGAGCAACTCTTTGAGTAGACGCCTTACGAGTAACTTATATGACCATAGGGTCATTAAAAAGAAAAAGAAAAAGTTTAATAATACATAATTTATAAGAACCTTTGAGGAAAATGCTGATCGAAAACAAGAATTCTATATAAATGACATTATCATAAACATCTCGCTATTCGAGAGGCCCTATATATATGATAATTCTCAAACTGACATCAAACTTACATTATTTAATAGTGGAAATGAATTGTTGAATGATTTTAGAAAATAAAAAAAAATAGAAAGACGTTCACGCGAATTGCAGTCCCGCGCGGCACATGAGAGCTTGGAATGAACAGTCCTTTTACATATATATATATATATATATATATATATATATATATATATATATATAGTAATTAGTCGGAGGATTTGATAAATTTAATTAATTCATCGAGTCTGATAGAAACCTCAACGGAATGCAGAAAGCACTGGACGGCCGTTTCGTCCTATATTTGGGACTCATCAGCAGTGCGCATCCACTACTGAGAATCGAAACCTTGACAGTTAGGTTGTCATGCAAACATCATACCAACTGTTCCAAGTGGGCCACGGAATATGTGAGCGAGCGGCGCTTTGTTGAGTCTGGTTTGCAATCTCTTCGTCACCGAGGCCCACTTGGAAAAGTTGGTATGATGTCCGCTTGACAACCTAACTGTCAGGGTTTCAATTCTCGGTAGTGGATGCGCACTGCTGATGAGTCACATGAGCAACTATTTCAAATGGGATTGTCCACTATAGTAACTTTAATAAATGACACACACACAAACACACACACATATATATATATATATATTTAGTGTTTATCAAAAATACTTTTACGTGCATGTTACTCACACCAGTCAAGGACAAAAGGTCATCCAGTGCTTTCTGCGTTCTGTTGAGGTTTCTATCAGACTTGATGAATTATATATATATATATATATATATATATATATATATATATATATATATATATATATATGTCAGTGATTCCTCAATGCAAGCCGCTATCCACCACTTCACCGTGCCTCCTCTTTATACACACACACCCATATATATATATATATATAGTAGAATAGTGGATTAAGGAATCGGAGAGCCGAGGTCGAATCCATTACATTCACTTACGTGGTAATACCCTTGGGTAAATTAATAACAGGTCACTGGGTTCTATAGCCTTGGATGGCAACTGGTCTAGGTGAAGGACAACTGTGAATTGAAAACCTGCAGAGGGTGGTTTGGGTACCTTGTGGCACGTAGTGCTCCATGCATTGCCGATTATGCAAGGCTGAATAATGCCTTTTAGAAATTGCTTTACGTTCTGGATACGAGATTAAGCAGGTATGGGCTCGCAAGAAAAAATATATTGGTGGGAAAGTGTATTTTCCTTAAAGGGAAAAATAGGGCCATGCTGTAGAGTGACGCTCATTGTAACCTAACCGTAAAGCACACCGGATCAAACGAAAGGGAACCAGGTTCGTTTCTTCCCCGAGAGCACATTTTATTTGTTGATTTCTCGAAGGTACAGACCGATAGAGGTAATACACACTGTTTGAAATAAAAATGGGTCGTCTATTTCAAATAATTTATGTTTTTTTTTATTTTTTTGTTTACATGTATATTAATGATATAATGGAATATGCATACCCCTGTGTTCCCCCTCACTGGAATATGATTAGCTGGTGTCCGCCATAAATACTGACGGACGTGTAGAAGAGAAGAGCCTTAGTCTGAGAGCTAAGTTTATAACGGCACCCATTGGACTACGCCATTGATGTACACTTCTTACCTGCGACTACGACGCGTACCAGTCGATTACTGCTACCGTATTCTACTTGGTTATAGTAGCCAAAACCACTTAGCTACTTCGTTCAAATATATCCCTTTCAGGCACATATCAATTAACTACTATGGATTATTTAATGTCGGAATGTAAAATTGTTGTACGCAATTTTATTGTTTTGGGCGATAATAATCGTGATACAAATCTTACTAATTAACCCTCACCAGGGGGGAAAAGTGGTTGATTTATTTCTTTCTCCAAGTCTATTTGCGCGTAAATGGATATAATAAATCCAACTAGAATTGGAACTCGGCCTTTCGATTAACAATTCCAAACCATTATCCATTACGCCACCCGCACATCCAAAATTACAGCACCTGATCTTCCCAGCGGTTATCCAATGAGGTACTGAACAGGCTCGACGTTGCTTAACTTCGGTGATCGTACGGGAAATGCTGTTTCAACGTGATGTGGCTGCAAGCCGCAACTATTTCAAATAGGATTGTCCACTATAGTAACTTTAATAACTATAATAAATGACACACACACACACACACACACACACACACACACACACACACACACACACACACACACACATATATATATATATATATATATATATATATATATATATATATATATTTAGAGTTTATCAAAAATACTTTTACGTGCATGTTACTCACACCAGTCCAGGACAAAAGGTCATATAAACCTATGTCCGCAGATACTTGTTTTTTGAATTAATAGGTTTAAAATTTACGGTGAATTTGTTCTTCCATCTCTTCGCCGTTATCCATTATACTACCCTCACACCAAGCTTCTAATATTCCCAGGTTCTCACTCATCTAGCTACTAACTAGGCTCGGCGTTACTTAACTTCGGACGAGAACCAGTGTTTAAGCCGATCTTGCTAAAAAGCTTAATAACGTCGAACCCACAACAGATTTTACCTTTGAACTGAGACTAACATCAATTTTCTTATCATCGATATCATCCAGCATTAATAATGAACTTCAGTTGGAGGTTTACAGACAATCTATCAGCAAGAATGATCTTATTAATTTCTATTCTCACCGCTTTAACAGAATAAAATGTGGAAGAATTATAGGATTCTATTGAAGAGAACTAAGAATCTGCAGCCCCCAATATTTACCTGAAAGAGAAATATGCATAGAACACACCTTCAGAAACTTCCAATTTCCTCATTATTTCAAGCACAATGCTAAGAGAAAGGTGTACAAAATATATAATGATATGATGAACAACAACAATAACAGTGGCAATGAATTGGATAGCATCAGACATATAATACTACCTACTTACTACTTAACATCTACTATCCAAAACAATTTACTTACGGCTACATCACGTTGAAAACCAGTTTGATCACCGAAGTTAAGTAACGTCGAACATGGTCAGTACCTAGATGGGTGACTGTTTGGGAATACCAGGTGCTGTAAGCTTGGAGGTGTGGTTGGTATAATGGATAGTGACTCGGAATTTTTAATCGAATAGCCGAGTTTCAATTCCAGTCGGGTTCGTTATATTCACTTATGTGCAAATACCACGAGGAAAAGGATCAATCCACCTCTACTCCCCCAGCTATGGGTTAATTAGTAAGACATGTATCACTAAACAATTATCATTTCCAAAAATAAAATAAAATTGCGTACAATATATTTAGATTCCAGCATTAAATAATCCATAGGAGTTGATATGCCACTAAAGACGAACCAGGAAAATATCTATTTTTAACAATATCAAAATAATTACAACGGCATCAAAATCTATTATGGATATGATCAGAACCAAAATTATCAATAACAATAATAATTCTGAAGCATGTATATATAAAATAAACTATCATGACTATTCCTTACAGTACATTGGGGAAACTTGCAGAAATGAAAAAAAAAAAAACCCACATATCTATGAACACAAAAAGAGTTTATACACAGTAATTTATAGAATGCATGTCATACATAGATTTAATTGCAACAACAACTTCGAGCTAAAGAATGCCACACTTATAAAAAGAGAAAGTAACTTAGAGAAAACATTCTTGGGAGTGTATCTATCGAATTTTATCAAAATATAAATCTGCGCACTGAATTTTTTCAAAATTTCCTTTCGTGAAAGAAATATCTCTGCCCCCACCAAATAAAAATGTAAAAATGTTATAAATTTCAAAGAAAACTGGTAAATTCATAACTTTCTATTATTTAAAATATATTATGCAAAAATTAAACCCAAACTAAAATAATACAAATAATGATTAAATTATATACTAAAATTCAACTACATTTAGACATTAAATGACGTCACTTAGCATCCTTCATAATTTCTTAAATTTCAAAAGTCTGAAAAACTAACGACATTTTTGCTTTTGTTTAAAAATATTTGTTGCAAAAATCCTTACATTTAACTTGATAAATATGCGTCGGATAAGATAAGTTTTCCTTTTGCCTTTATATATATATATATATATATATATATATATATATATATATATATATATATGTGTGTGTGTGTGTGTGTGTGTGTGTGTGTGTGTGTGTATACGAAAGTGTCTGTTCTTTTCATGGATTCTCAGTATTAGTAATATATATATATATATATATATATATATATATATATATATATATATATATATATATTAGTGTGAATATATATATACATATATATATATATTTCTATATATACTCATCAGTATAGTGTCTGTCCTTTTCACGGATTCTCAGTAATGGTAATATATATATATATATATTAGTGTGAATATATATATATATTAGTGTGAATATATATATATATATATATATATATATATTATATATTAGTGTGAATATATATATATATATATATATATTAGTGTGAATATATATATATATATATATATATATATATATATATGAATAATTAGTATCACTTGCTCTGTTGTACGTATTAGTGAGAATCCGTGAAAAGTAATTATATTAGTATAATTAACAAATTCTTGAGAGCTATGATCGCCCACTTCCAGAAGGGACACGGTACATAGAATACATTTTATCTTTATGTACTGAATCAGTGTAGCGTATCGACTTTTGTTTCTTTTAGTCATGCACATTACATTTTTAGGCTTTAGGCCACCTCCATCAGAAGATAACGAATTTAAAGCTCGACTTATCTGTGAGTCATCGTTTTTAAAGTGTCAGTCATTTAATTAATTTCTACAAGTAAACATTTTGCATATGGATTGCCAGAAGTGTAAAAGCTGAAAGAGAATGTATTCAAATCGACTAAAGTAGAAACTAATACAAAAATGGAATACTCGAGTGTAAAGCTAAACAAAGAACTGTCGTTAAACAACATTATTGTCTTGTTTTGTATCGGTTTCTCAAAATGTTTGTCCGGCCCTCCGTCCAAAAGCGGAAACAGTGAAAACGCCACTTTCCCGACATTGTGACTTCGGGTTGTATCCTATTCTGGCAATAAAAGCTTGAATGTTTTGGAAATAAATATTGAAATCAGAGGAAAAGTTCGATGATGTGTTATCGAGATGACGTTCGCTTGCCATAAAATTGTTATGTCTTAAACCGGCACGTGATTCCTTTCTGTTCCTCTTCTCTGTCCATTTGATATCAACACCCGAAATACGGCCATCTTGGTTGGTGTTTGATATTGTAAGCACAAGAATGAATTCTGAAGTCTGTTTAGCAATTTGTTTCAACAGACTTTAACATGTCTGAATCTTGTCAAGGTTAACAATAGGTGGAGTAGTCATTTTTTTTTTTTTTTGCTGCTACCCCACGGCTTGTCTGCTAAGCAAACCCTAGAGGAGAGGTTTGCCTTTTTAAGATACCTGACAAAGAGTGCTGGGGTATAAATTTATAACTTTTTTAAGGGTGTTCCTGACAAATGAACGCGAGTAGTCACAGGAGTATTTCGAAAGCGTTTTAAGATTTCGTTCCAATATGAAAACTGTCATATCTACTTAAGTATGTAACACAGTGGTTCGCAAACTTTTTTTCGTTGTGCCACATTTTCGGAATTAAAATTTGTTCGCGTCTCACCAAATTTTATGTAATAAAAAGTACATCTAAAAATGAAAGCACACACACACACAGACAGAGAGAGAGAGAGAGAGAGAGAGAGAGAGAGTTAAAGGGAGATAACCGTGGATTCAAAGTCAGAACATTATCATTGATAACTCTCTCTTCCAATTTGCGGAGCCTAGTTACTAAATTCTTAATACTTGATATAATTAAAAAATATCAGTGATAAAATTGATCAATAATTATTTATAACTATTTATACTGAGACTCATGCATGCAAATAAAAGTAATCCATAATAATAATTTAAATTTTGAAATCATATTTATTTTTGGCATAAAAATTTTTTTGAAACTGTTTCTAAGTGTTTCTGTAATGACCAAATAAATGGTTTAAGAAATAACAAAACAAGTCTGACAGATATATCATATATTAAATAGTAAATACAACAGAAGAGTATTACACGACTAGTGAGTGTTTGTCGGTTGACCAGCGTTCAATCTATTCGACTGTTCCCCCAAAGGCATCGTTTGGGAACCATTGATGTAAGACGTCATCCTCCTCTTCCTCCTCCTCACCATCCACATGAGTCGGTGTGGTCCTAGAGTTGTTCCGCATCTGAACACCTGACCAGCCCCTTGCATATACATCGGTTGTGTGCCAATGTCTAGGTTTCTGTGAATGGTCTTCCAGTTCGCTCAATGTCGTTGTCAGTTATTTTTTCCTCTGTGTGCTTCTTCTTTTGCATAAAGATGGCCGTAGAAAGATTGGTGGCTCTGATGATATGTTCATATCATATCAACGTTTTCTTCTTGACAGTGTTTATTAGATCTTCCAGTGAAGCTTTTTCTTGTTTAATGGTGTCTCATCTGCGTCATTTGTGAAATGCTGTGCGTAGGAGATGCCATGAGGATTCTGTAGCATCACATTTTTAATGAATAGAATTTTTTCTTTAATTCATTCTGCTGTTAATGCTCAATATTCGCACGTGTAGAGAAAAATTAAGAATGCCAAATGCACACAACAGCCTATCTTTGATTTCAGGCAGATGTTTTTGTCTTTCCCGATAGTTTCGCAACAGCTGTCATTGTCGTGTTGCTCTTGAAATTATTCCTATTCTGAAAACTACCTTCGCTGATAATCGAGCCAAGATATTTGAATTGGCTCACTACATTAAGTTCCTGGCCACCGACTTTTATCTTGATTGACTTTGTTTTTTTTTTTCGGTATTAATTTCCATGCCGTATCTGAAGAATGTTTCCTCCAGATTCTTTACCAGAGTGGCGAGTTCCTTTACATTGTCAGCTAGACTATATATGTTGTCTGCAAAGATAAAGCTGTTGATAAAATAAGGATAAAACAATGTTAGGCGAACTGAATGCAGTTGCACATTTCACTGCTGGGTGTCAAGAGTTGATATTATTCTGAACCGGTTTAAATTGTGG